TCTGTACTGTCACTAAGGTCTGCCACCCCTCTGCTCGCCATCTTGACTACCAGCCTTGAGTCACAAGATGCAACTAATGGTTGTATTCAGATGTCCAATGCCATTCTGCTCATGTCGCTTTATCAATGATGAGCCCTTCCCAAAGTCACCTAGAATACGTCCCTACCCCTCCTAGTGGCCAATGCTTGGTCATATGTCCAATCCACACAATCCCTGGTGAGGAAGGGAAAACTGGGCCACAGCAAGAAGCAGAGAGCAGCCTGCCGGCCTGCTGCCAAAAAATCTAGGGAAGCTAGGGGGAAAAAATCAATCCACAATAGCTGCCACCCATTATGCAGATGATTCCTGGGTGCCTACCACAAGGGCTGTGCCATTGCTCCTCTGTAGGCATCCTTTGAAATACATCAAGGGTAGGGGCCGGCCCGGTGGCGCACTGCTACAGTGCACCGCTTGGGAGCGTGGCAGCACTCCCGCTGAGGGTTCGGATCCCACATACAGACCGGTTCCCGCTCACTGGCTGGGCGAGGTGTGGGCACAACACTGAGGGTTGCGATCCCGTTGCTGGTCCCGGTCCGGTACGGGCGCGACACTGAGGGTTGCAATCCGTTGCTGGACACGAAAAAAGACAAAAAGGAAAAAAAAAAAAAAAGAAAGAAAGAAATACATCAAGGGTAGAAAGATGTGGGTGTTTTCTTTATACAGTGTATTAGTCTGTTTCTGATGCTTATAACAAAATATCTGAAACTGGGTGATTTGTAGAGAAACAATATTTATTGCTTAGAGTTTCCAAAGTCCAAGGAACACATCTGGTGAAGGTCTTGTTGGGGATGACAGTGATGCCAGGGTCTCACATGGCAGAATGGCAGAGCAGAGAGAGCTGACTCCTCACTTGTCCTCCTGAAGCCCTCATACAATGCCCATTATTCCAAGAATGGATCAATCCATTCAGTAGGGCACAGTCCTCACAATCCAATCACCTTTTCAAGGCCCCACCTTTCAATTACCATAACTGTATTTTCCTATCCTCCTAATACTGTCACAGTGGGGACCAAGCTTCCAATACATGGACTTCAGGGGACACAATTCAATCCACAGCATGAAGCCCTATTTTCAATGTCACAGTGCAGTGAGAACTACTGTTTGCAGCTTTTCTTACCACACGTTTGTGTTGTTAACAGTGTATCCTGCCTTTGCATATGTTCTGAGCATGTTTTTATTAAATAGACTAAGCCCAAGACAGTTGAACACTTTTAAAAAAGCATTGTTTAGCTTCTTTATTGATGAGAAGATCAATAACAATGGGCATAACTATTTGTATATGCCAAGGAACAACAAGATAACAGATAAGTGGTGTGGTACTTCTCCAAAATTATTATAAAAATTTTGAAACAGAACTCTTAAGAAAATACATTGAACATCCATGTACCTACCACCAAGTTCAACACTTGCTAAAACTTTGCCATTTTTGCTTTATCTATTTATGTGTGTATCTTTTTCCTGAACCACTTCGGACATCATGACAGTTCATCTCTATATATTCAGCATGTTTCCTAGAAATACACACTGACCTTCATGACCACAATTATCACACTTAAGAAAATTAACTCTAATTCCCTAACATCATCTAATATCCACTCCATATTCAAAATATCTATGTAGATATCTTTTAAAGTCAGATGTCGTTTGGATCCAATCAAGGTTCATGCACTGCATTTGACTTTAGACTCTTTTAATTGAAATCAGTCCCCCACCCCCACCATTTCTTTTCTTTTCTTTTTTAATATAACATTGACTTTTTAAAGAGACCAAGACAGTTGTCCTGTAAATATCCCACATTCTGGATTTGTCTGATTTGTTTTCTCAACTGAAATTGTTCCTCTACTGCCTCTCTTTCCTATAAAATAAAAGTCAAGTCTAAACACTTGATTAGATTCCTATTAAATATTCTGGCAAAACTACTTCCTTGGCAACATAACTACTTCATATTGCACATCAAGAGGCACATGCTATTGCTACCATTAACAATGCTACATTTGATTGCCTGGCGATTGTGGGGCAGCCAATCATTCCATTGAACAGGTACTTTTTTCAAGTTTCAATGTGTGAGATATCTGCGGGTGATACCTTTGAATCTAATGGTTTGAGCATCTATTGGTGACCTTTGCCTAGATGCACTAGGGGTTACAAATTAGCGATTTTTCAAATTCTGTCTGCATTCCTACTGCATTTAGTAGCTGACATTCTGTAACAAGTAGTATTCCACAACTGGAGATGAACAACTGCTCCTACTAAAGATGAAAACCTAATTCTTTCCCTCTAATTACAGCGTAAGGAGTTTGGGTAAGATTTGCCTCCATTGGTGGATATGACTTTAGCCCCTTTCTCTTAGTGCTTATGACTGTGGACTTCAGATTTTTGTTTATTCAAAATGTTATATAGTCAGTTACAGTCATTCTTCCTGATCATCAAATCACCTCAACTTTGGCCCGTGGGAGCCCCTTCTAGCTAGTTTCTGTGTCCTTTCACTTCTGATCCAGAAGGTCCCAAGCTCACCTTGGACACTGCAAGACCCAGGCCTGGAAGCAGCTATTTCTCCAAGCAGTCCTGGCTCTTCGGTGGCAATGTTGGGGACTGAATTTGCTCACCACTACAGGGGCGTCATTGCTTCTAGGCCTGCTCAGTGTGCAGAGCTAGGAAATGTATAAACATTTTTTAAAACAATGAGTAATATTTTCAATTCATTTTTATCGTTATGGGGAGTTTTACATAAGTACTTTGATTTTTAATGTGCATCTCTTAAACTGGAAATTTTGGTTCCCAATAACTTTAACAATTTCTTTTTGCTTTACCTTATGACATACACAAAACAGATTAAAAATAACACCAATATTACTAACATGGAAATTAATGAGTGGCATTTATTGTTTTTACAGTGCTTTTTGTCCTGAAAATCAGCCCACTAAGGATGTACAGTCCTAATACTGTGTTCAAAACTGTCGTGAAAAAAATGATTTTTTTCTGGGCTGGCCAGTTAGCTCAGTTGGTACTGATAACACCAAGGTCCAGAGTTCAATCCCTGAACCAGGCAGTAAACCAAAAAAAGGAAAAAAAAAAATAAAAAGAAGAAGGAAAAATGGTTTTTCTGTATGGCTAAGTTTCCAACTTCACATAAACTTAAGTTGATTTCTGTTTTCACCATCAGAATCTGCTTTCTTTTAAGTATGTAAATCATTTATATTTATTCAAAAGTCAAAATGTCATAAAAAGTTATATGCAAAAAGCCTCACTCCGTCCCAAGCTCCACCACCTTATTCACTCCTGTCTCCATAGGTATTCATTTTCTAGTTTGTAGTTTATCCTTATTTGCAAAAATAAGCAATTATACATATATTCTTATTTCTTATCAATTCTTATACAAAAAAAATAGAATGCTATATATAGTTTTCTATACTCTGCTTTTCTAATTTAATGATATGTTGTGGTACAGTACTCCAAGTTTCTCAGACATGTCACTTATAATGTATATTGTAATATTCAGATACAAAGAAACACTGGTGGCATTTACTGTGGGAAGCCTGTCATAACAGCTATTAAGCTATGGGGAGATATTTCCTACTGACAACTATGTTAAGTTCCACTATGTAAATCAAACATACTCAACACATGTATGAGGGTAACTCAAAAAGTTCATTGAAACCAAAGTTGTATTATCTTTTAATTCTATTTTTCCACAAACTTTAAAAAGTACCCTCATATGTTGCCTACTAACATAGGTAAGCCCCATCTGCCTCAAGTTCTCATCCATTACCTAATGCTGTCAGCTTGCTGCTGCAACTCATTTTTCAAAGGCTTCATATTCCAGCAATGAATATCATTAGTATTAGATATATCATATTTCCAAGTTTGGTATCATGTCTGAAACATGACTTCTAGTAATACTTCTCGAGGAAAAAAATTATCACTATCTCCTAAACTGATGGATGTCCCCCAGTATTAATTCTTTGCCTATGAAATAAAGTCTGGCTTTTCTCAAAAGCTTTCACGCATATAAAACATTTAAGTATTTTCACACCAATATCAATTACCTGATGTGCAGTAAGCTGTGACTCTGTAAACACTTTATACTTGTGTTGCATTGTGTTTTTTTCCCTCTGTCTCTCTGAAGCATGTATTGATTTGTTACTGGACACTAATACACAGGATGTTCTCAGGGATCCCTCCCCATTTGACTTCTCTGATATTTAGTAAGATATGACACAAAATTTTCCCTTATCTATCTCTGTCATGGAGAACCCACCCATCCCTACCCCTTGTGTGTTTTCTAAGGCCAATTAAAACCTGAATTTACACAAAAGGGGATCCGTACATTATTACATTCATAAGCCTTCTCCCATACGTTCTCTCTGGTGTGACAAAATTTGACTCGAGACAGGATTTTCTACATTTGTTACAATTTAGGGTACCACTCTTGTGTGAATTTTCTGATGGCTGGTGAGAGTTGCCTTCATGGTCTCCCCAATTCATTACATTCATAGGGTTTTCCCCCTCTATGTGTTCACTGATGTACTGTGAGGGTTGACTTCATATGGAAGGTTTTCCCACATCTATTACATTCATATGGCTTCTCCTCTGTATGAGTTCTCTGATGATTTATAAGATTTGACTTATATAAAAAGTTTTCCCACATTCATTACATTCAAAAGGGCTCTTCCATGTGTGAGTTCTCTGATGTACAGCAAGAAGAGATTTCATACAGAAAGATTTGTCACATTCATTACATTTATAGAGTTTCTCTTCTGTGTGAGTTCTCTGGTGTGTGGTTAAGGCTGACTTACAGCAGAAAGATTTTCCACATATACTACATTCATGGGGTTTCTGAAACCCAGTGTGTGTTCTCTCTTCTTCAATGAGGTGTGACTTCTGGAAAAGGTTTTTACACATTCTTTACATTCATAGGGTTCCCACCTGTGTGTGTTTGCTGATGTTTAGCAAGGACTGACTTCTGGAAGAAGGCTTTCCCACATTCTTTACATTCATATGGTTTCTTCCCTGTATGTATTCTCTGATGTTGACTGAGAGCTGACTTCATATAGAAGCATTTCCCACATTCATTACATTTATATAGCATTTCTCCCCTATATGAGTTCTCTGATGATGATTGAAGTTAGATTTTGCACAGAAGGATTCCCCACACTCATTACATTGATATGGTTTCTCTCCTGTGTGAATTCTCTAATGGACTCTCAGGGCTGAGCTATGGCAAAAATGTCACACTCATTATATATGTGAAGCTTCTTCTCTGACTGTATTCCTTGGTGATCCATGATGACTGACTTCACCGTAGGCCTTACCACATTCTTTATAGTCTTTGGGTTTCTCTCCTGAGTGAGTTCTCTGAGAGTCAGTTAGTTGTGATTTCTGGAAGGTTTTCCAACACTGACTGCTTTCGCACAGTCTCTCTCTTATGTGTGTCCTATGACACCGAGTGAAGTGGGACTCCTGGCAAAATGATTTCTTGCAATGACTACATTCAAAACTTTTCTCCCCTGTGTGAGTTGCCTGAAGTTAAGTGAATTGAAACTTCTTGCTAAAATATTGATTTTCATCAGGTTCAAGGATTTTATCCTGTGTTAACTTTCTTTTCTTTCTTTCTTTCTTTTTTTTTTTTTCTGACCGGTAAGGGGATTGCAACCCTTGGCTTGGTGTCATCTGCACTACGCTCAGCCAGTGAGCGCACTGGCCATCCCTATATAGGATCCAAACCCGCGGCCTCAGTGCTACCAGCACCACACTCTCCCGAGTGAGCCACGGGGCCAGCCCCCATGTTAACTTTCTGATGATTAAAGAGCGTTGACTTCTCACACATTAACTTCAGAGTGGTTCTTCCTTGTGTGACATTCCTGATGGACTTCAGAGGTCAACTTGGCACTGATGTTTTCCCCATGTTCTTTATAATCACAGGACTTCTCTCCCATTTGAATCTCATGTGTGATGATGGCTGCCTTCTCACCATGTTCATTATCTTCCAAAGGTAGTCCCAAAGTTTGAATTTCCTGTTGCCCAATAAGGTCCTCATTATGACTTAGGGACTTCCCACTTTGGTTATATTCATCAGGTGTCTTTCCAGTTTGAGTGTTTTCCTGCTTATTACCAAGAGGCAGCATCCTACATGTGTTAATATCATCAGAGTTCTTACTTGAATAATTTTTATCACTAATACTTGATTTTGAAACATATTTCAAACTCATTCCACGTGAGTCATACTGAGAGCATGTTCTTCTCAAAGAAACCAGGTTTGTGCCCAGAGGAAGTGTTTGTCCAAAAACACTTTCTCTCTCTTCTTAGCCAGTGCATTGTTGTTGATGAGTAAAGCATGAAACAAATGTTTGTCTTGGTTTTCCTGGCTTCTCTTTATCAGGACATTTAACTTCTGGACTTCTGGAAATGAGAAAAATTAAATGTATTTTTTAAAAGTCAACACATTCCCTTTATAAGTGTAATTTATTATATCACTGATTCTCTATTTTCAGGCCCAGGCTTCTAGGATGAAATCCCAAGCATACAGTTCTCCTTGGTTCAGGAAAGATAACAATAAAAAACACCTGCTATAGTGGAAAAGGGAGAGGAAAGCTAGCCAGGAACATACATATATTTGCTATTTTAAAAATATGATCCTCAGGGCCGGCCCGGTGGCGCACTGGAGAGTGCGCCGCTTGGGAGCGCGGCGGCGCTCCCGCCGAGGGTTCAGATCCCATGTGGAGACCGGTTCCCGCTCACCGGCTGAGCGCAGTGCGGGCGCAACACCGAGGGTTGCGATCCAGTTGCCGGTTCCCGGTACGGGCGCGACACCGAGGGTTGCGATCCCATTACCAGTCAGTAAGAAAGACAAAAAGGAAAAAAAAATATGATCTTCAAAACTGAAAAAAGAAAAGGAATTAAACACAAGGAACAGTGAACTAAGGGCAAAGCATTACCGAGAAAGTCATATAATGGGCTTAGCCCAAAAGAAACCATGAACAGGAAGTGGAGTGAAAACGAATGTTAGGAGGCCTGGATGAACAGAAGAAACCGGAAGGCTTACATGTGGGATAAAGCAGATTATCCATACAGATCCAACCCACTATCTAATGCCAACAGATAAAATAAGGTTATAATTTATATCAGCTGTTCAAGATATCCTTACAAAAATTCACAATAAATATCTTCTAAAATATTCATTCCCATACACAAGTCACAAGTTTACACTCATTTAGCCTGCTTTTCAGTTTTGGCTCTACTAAAAACTCAGACATCCTCCAGGAAATGCATCTCTCTCTCTCTCTCTCTCTCTCTCTCACACACACACACACACACACACTCACACACACGCACACACACACACCCCTTTTCAAATCATGTCCCTTAAACTCCATTTTCTTAAAAATTTGAAAGCAGTCACTATGTATACTTTGGAGAGTATTCATTTTATCCAAATAGCACTAGATGAACACTAAATTTCAGAATATATCATACAATTTTGTTTACCTCTCCTAATTACAACCTATGCTCCTAGCAGGTGTTAATGTATCTCCAGTGGCCTTTGAACCCCTCTGAATAGCTATAAAGTTGGTGGACCTTAGCAGGCAGTATGCATCAGAATTATCTGGCAACTTTTATTCAAAACTCAGGGTATAGACTGTCATGGCCCCATGTCAATCTATATACCCTATGAACCAGAATCTACAGGAATGTGATATAGACCTATGTACTTAGAAAATGATTTCTTAATAAACATAAGTTAGTATAATAGATGAACATATCAATTATCTACTGTACCTGAAAGGAAGAGTAGAAAGGGGACCCTTTAGGTGTGCACAAAAGCCTCAGGTAATAATCATATGCTCTCAGGTGTCACTGTACATGATCAAGTATGAATTTCCTGTAGCTCAGCCACCAAGTAAAATAGGAATTCAAAGAAGAGATTACTGTTGACTAGAGTAATTAAGCAGCACTTCTCAACAGAAGTGAAAACTTTAGCTCAAACATAAATTATGTGTAAAAATAACACCTCAAGCATCAACTAAATGCCAGGCACAGTCCTAAGCCCTTTCTTACAAATCTGGACAGGCGAACCTCAAGAAAAAGAGAAGATGTTGGGAAGATGTATGAGTAACATTTAGGAAGCCAGATCCAATGGAACCTATCATAAGTTTTTGAGCAACAACAACAAAAAAGAGATGAACATGGGCTGGTGTGGTTAGTTTTAAGAAGAGATGTTTTCAGAGAGGGCAACCCCAGGTTGCTATAAGGATAGTGATGGAGTTTGGGTGTGTTGTCCCCTCCAAAACTCATGTGGAAATTTGATCTCCAATGTGGCAGTGTTGGAAACTGAGTCATGGGGGTGGATCCCTCATGAATGTATTAATGCTCTCCCTGGGGGAGGGGGGATTAATGTGTGAGTTCTTGTTGGATTAGTTCCCACGAGAACTTGTTGCTTAAAAAGACCCTGGCACCTCCTCTCTCTCTCTTGCTTCCTGTCACCATGTGATCTGCTTGTACCCGCCAGCTGCCTGTCACTTTCCGCCATGAGTAGAAGCAGCCTGAGGCCCGTGCCAGATGCAGCTGTCGCAGAATCGTAAGCCAAATAAACCTCTCTTCCTTATAAATTACCCAGTCTAAGGTATTTCTGTTATAGCAACACAAAACGGACTAAAACAGCTAGAGACAAGGGAAAAAACAGATGCTTTGGGTTTAAATATACATAGTTACAAATAGGAATGAAATAATCAAGGAATGAGAGAATAAGGTTCTGGTTTTGAGTGAGGTCACTGGAAAATAAAAATTAAAGAAGAATTTTCAAAGGAAAATAAATAAGAGAACTGTATAGAGATCAGTATGATAGACGGACAATTCGCATGGTTGTCAGATATAGAAGACAAATGGTAGAATGTAATTAAGTGAAAATGAGGAATGTGAGGATATTTACAATTTGGAAGAGATGATCTTAAGGTTAGTTTTTTGCCATTTTGACAATAAAGGACTGGAACACCTCAGGTAAAATGAAGAGAAGATTGCAGATGGGGCCAGGATAGAGGAGGTGACAGTTTTTGAAGCATCCGCAAAAACAAAAAGTTTAAATCTTAGGAATGAATGAGGCACTGGGGAAAGAGACAGTAGAAGACTTAGTCCTAAGGGACTTGTCCCGGAAAAAAGAATGATCATGTGATCAAAATTGCTTGGTATTGTAAGATGTCTCAATTTTTTTTGCCAAATTTGAGGGTATAAAATGGTATTTCACTGTTAAAAGTAAAAAATACTTTGTATTTGTGTGGCGTTTAGGAAATTATTTCCTACTCCAAGATCATAGATATATTCTCCAGGTTTATAGTTATAAACATATTCCACTATACTTTTTTCTAAAGGTTTTATTTTTTGACTTCTAAATGGATTTTTGTATAATGGTAGAAGAAATGTTTTCCCTCATGTGGATAACTAATTTTCTCATTATCACTTATTAAGTAACCTCACCTTTGTTAGTTTCTCTTACATATCAGATTTCCACATAAGTGTGCAGCTAGTTCTGGGTTCATTTTTTCATTCCATTTATTTTTACACTAATACTAATACTAATACTTCATTGTTATAGCCATGTAACAAATATTGGCACCTGGGAGCACAAACCCTCCAACATTTCTTCTTAGCCTTCAGAAGTGCTTTGGTGATTTTTGAACTTTGTTCCTCCATAGAAATTTTAACATTTTATAACTAATAATTCTAAAATCTGACATCCTTCATCTTTTAATTCTGTTAGTTCTGTTAATTCTCACAAAATGACCGGTGCATTTGAGCTTGCTACTTTTTCGTTTTGAGCTCCCATTTTTGGTGCCCTTTATCTGTGAGAATCCTGAGGGCTGAAGTGGGGACCCCTTGATTAAGAGATAATTTGTTTCTATCTCCTGGAAGCCAGGGAAAGTTAACAATACAATTGGGGATGAATTTAGCGAGATTTTTAGAGCTCTAACTTAATGCAGAAATCTCAGGGTGAACTTTCCCACCTGCTTGGTCCCCAAGGTAGTGAAAACC